CTCTTTGTCTGTCTCTCTCTCTCTGTCTTTCTGTCTTTCTCTCTCTGCTTGCCTCTTTCTCATCAAGACTTTTAGTTTTATAGTCTCAAGAGTGTAATGTCCAACAATTGTCATATAGTTGCGACAAATAGCATCTGTGGACTGACTTCATGGTACTTTAACTTGACATTCAAGAGTAATGAGCCAGTGACCCCCCAACACAGTAGTAGCACAGTTGAAATGATGATGCATTGTAGCCTACTTACCCAAATGAGGCCTGAAGGTTACAGATATGATGATTGAATACTGGAGATATGGTTGCAAAAATGAGGTAGAGGTCAGGTTCCTGTAGATGTTTCACATTAAGGGAGCAATAATGGAGGGTGTTGATTGTGATTGGCTGCTTGATCTGATTTCCTGAGGTTTATTTGAACTATAATCATGAAGTTTACCCAACTGTTTAACTTTTTAATGATCATATGTAAGTGTTTTAGAAAGAACTGACAAATTAGGTTTAAGGTAGATTTAAGGAAATGACAAACATCCTAATCAGAAAAACAATGACGTGGTTAACAGTCAGTTCTTTCATTACATTACTGTTTTATTTTATTTTGATTACTTTGCAATAGTGTTTTTAACTAATATGTGATTCATTTCTATGACACTGGGCTAAGGTTGAAAGTTTGACCATTTTCTTTCTTCTTAGTTATGGAGCCCCAAAAGTGACAAATCAAAGTCATTAAAATCTCAACAGTAAAAATACACAAACATGGGGAATATGTGTAGTAAAGTAACACAGTAATGCAATAGCAAGTTATATAATTGAAACAAACCCTAACCCTGTATAACCCTGAATCGCTGGGATGAAAATAAGCATTCAGTCACTTTTTCTTTTGCTGGACTACTAGAAATGTTGTTAATATTTGCAACACATTTTCATGGAAAATTTAGCTAACATTTTCCATTTTATTCTCTTGTTTTCGAATGTATCTTCAGTCATAAAAACCTAGAAAAATGTGTGGCAATAAGTTGTGGTGAAAGCAAATGGGAGACAGCGTTTTAGTGGTATTAACCTAATGTATAAGTTAAAAAACCCAACAAAGTTTTACATGTGGTTATAGAGTGGCATGGCTGTTTTGTTCTCAAGACATATGATGGTGTGGCTCTTAAGTGATGAGGATGTGGTTAAAGAGTGATTTTTGTGTGTTTTAAGACAGACCAAAAACAATCAACTCTGGCTAGGTGGTGTGGCTTCACCTATATGTTACATAATATCACATATATCATCCATCAGTGGCTTGTTTTGTCACTTTCTAGGCCAAAATTATTAGGGTGCGTGTAAAGACAAGAAGAGGTCTGCCTTATTCTTATGAACATAATAATCACTTAAGAAGGAAGGTGATCATCGTGCGACATGATAATAAATAAATTGACACTGAAAACAAATTTAAGCATATTGAGTCACCAGTGCTTAAGTTTATGTCTAAGTGAATCATTTGTTTCACAAGCGTGAATCAGCTAAATTCAAGTATGAGTCTTCAAGTTTAGTGTAATCATGTGTCATGAAAATTTAGACTGCAGGAATCCAGGAAGTCCAGGGCTTAGTGCTAGAATGAAAAAAACCCTGCCAATATGAATTAGAAAAAAATATAATGATTGGGTGAACTTGGGGAAATTCAAGAAAGTCAGTCTTAGATCATCGTTTTTGTGGTATTAACTGCACATGGTGAGTATTTCATCTGGCTCATGAAAAGACAGAGGAAGCCAGGAATTAGAAAAGGTAAGAACATGAGCTTGATCACTGATTAGTAATAGTAACTCAAGCGCAAAGCCAAGCCATAAAACATCCACAGGCAGAAAAAAACATTCTGTCTCTAAATGTAAATCAAAACCTATATTAATTACTGTCATTCAGTCCCAGGCCAAAAACTCCCAAAACCTTCAAATATGGGCATATGGATGTCCAGAGCTAATTCAAAATGTATGTGTAACATGTGATGGATTAAACACATGTAGAACTTATGTTCGCTCTAGAAAAAAACAATTACAAAATGTATTTTATAGTTTTTTATATTTATAACTGAAAAAAACTATGGGCCAGAAGAGAAAAACGTTTTTGTTCATGTTGCTTTATATAATTCAATGTGTAAAGGTTTATGTATTGTACAAAACAAAAACTTTTTTTAATATTCCAGAAAAACTGTTTTTCTTGTTTTTTTTAAAATCCCCCCCCCCTGCTTTGTGTCTCCTCAGGTGCGTTCATCATCTGCTGGACTCCCGGCCTGGTCATCCTCCTTCTCGATGTCTTCTGCGCTAAATGCAATGTCCTCACGTATGAAAAGTTCTTCCTGCTTCTTGCCGAATTCAACTCGGCCATGAACCCCATCATCTACTCCTACCGTGACAAGGAGATGAGCGCCACCTTCAGGCAGATCCTGTGCTGCCAGCGGCAGGAGAACGTCAACGGGACGGTGGCGGAGGGATCCGACCGGTCGGCGTCATCCATCAACCACACAGTGCTGAGCGGCGGTATGCACCACCACCACCACCACCACAATGAACACTCTGTGGTATAAAGGAGGGCCGGACGTCACCAAGATTAATCCAACTGCTTGACGGGATTGATCTTTTTTGGAGAGACTGACTGAAAGAAGGTAAATGACTGCATGGGAAGGTCAAGAGGGACTGCGAACATGACATGAACTAAAGACAGTACCGTGATGAATTAGAGGATGAAGGTTAGGTAGCTGTAGTAAAGTTGATGATGAGTTCACAATAAAGAAGAGGATGGCAACTATGAAGAAAGATGATGAGACTTTATCGCTGTGTGAAGGAAGAACAGGGGAGGAGTCTGAACTACGAGGCCTCCGATAGGGTGTTAGTATTTTTGTTTAGCTGTTTATTATTTTCTATTTGTGTTAAATGTGTTGTTATTGACAGTGCTGATATGAACTATTTAAAAGTAATCTGTGAAATTACAGTAATGCCAGTATAACCCGTCCTCTCACTAGTCTTCTCTAACTTTGTATCCTGCAGTCGTGGGTTTCAGACTTTGTCCCCTTGATCCTCATTCTTTAGAAAGCTCCCATAACATCATACATGTTACATACAGACAACATTACACTACCATTAGAGTTTCCTCCACATCCATTACAGGACTTGTTCGTATTAGTTGCAACTTTTTGGATCCAAACCCAGATTTAGAACATTATTCCTTCCTTTTCGTTTACATTTGGGAGGAAAGACTTCAAATCTTGGGAAATACAAACCAACACATAACATTTTTGTGCCTTATGTGTAACCAAATGTTAAAACAAGCTATCTCCAGCAGCTTTAACTTTAACGTGACCTTGTGTGATTTTCTTGATAGCATTCAGATCTGTGTCCAGAGTTTTAACTTTTTCAGATTATAGGCTGAACTGAAACATTAATGGGACATCTTGCTAATGCTCATAAAATAAATAACTATATCAACACTGACATGTTTGACAAAAATACTGCAATATCTTTCAACCCATTATCGTTTAAATATTTATTTCTGCAGTAGATTCATCAGTCATCTTGTGGCGACCTCACAACGGAAATACTATCGGGACTCATTATTCTACTGGTTGTCATCTCTCACTAAAGACATTTTTTAAAAGCATTTTGTAAAAGCATCCCAGCAGTTTCTTCCTTTCATCCAGCGTAAATACACAAAGGGTCCAGGATCAGCAGAAATCCTGAGTTGTTTATCCCTTCTAAGGAACTAGAGAAAAGTTGTTCCAGGGATCATACCAAAAGGGGAGGAGGATGTTTGCAGTTTTAGAGCCGGCTCTGTGCCACAGTGTTTTGTGGAGACAAGGTGAAGGTCATATCTGGTGAGCGTTAACAGACTTCAGATCATGGCATGAAATGTGCTGAGTTGTCTGCCTCTCATGGTTTTATCAAGTGTCTCTTTGTCCATGAGGTTGACTGAGGAAAAGAGGTGAAAGAGTGAAAGTGAAACCCATGTTCATGTTAAATTGCCCTCTGGTGGCACGAGTAGGATCTATGGAAAAAAAAGACTGCAAATTATATAAAATTAGAATTCTAAAAAATAGATGATATATATTTTCATAACACTGTAAGAGGTGACAAGGAGGGCCTTTCTGTCTGTTCAGCATGATGTTAATGCATGCCTGTCTGAATTTGTAGTTTACAAACTACATTTTGCCACAAATCATATGGTAGCAGATTGCAAAAAACCAGAACTGAAGACACTAACAGGCAGCATTCTACCACAGTATGTCACTAGATGAACTTAAACACAGGGGGCAGACCCAAATAAAAACATAGAATAGCTACTTTGAACATAGACCATTTTGTAATGAAGTCTAACAGTCTACAGCCACCCTAGCGGCTCTGTGAGGCTGTACTAAGCATTGCTTTGAGCCAAATGCTAATGCTTGCATGCTCATATGCTCACAATAAAAATACTAACATGCTGATGTAAAGCCAGCATTTACCATGTTCACCATCTTGGTTTAGCTAGTTAGTAAGTTTGACCTGATGATGGTGAGATGGTGACCAAAGTTATTACAGTTCATCCTGAAAGGGACATGAATGCCTGAACCAAATTTCATGGCAGTCCATTCAATAGTT